AGAGATATATTTTCTTAATGTTTTGCAACCAAAATTTTGTTCGAATTTCTTGTTTGTCAGTGCCTTTCCATGACATCCTTCATGATTTAGTCGTCTTAGCAGTGTTAGGTGGATGGAGTAACTTATGAATCTTCTAATTTAGTACTTTTCCGTTCGTTTAAATCATATTTGTTACAGAGAATAAGTTAGTGATGAAATTAAACCGAATATGATTTCCATTTGTAGCTTAAGAACTTTTTATCTGAGCTTTTTTTTTGTCCGTAAGCTTGTTTACCGAGTGCGTTCAGTTCTGATTCTTAAACTGTGTTTGAGCCGTGTTAGAGCTACATGCAGGACCAATCAATTCAAGCGGAAGGAATTGTGGTTATCAGTGAGGAACGCATGCAAAAAATATTGCTCGCAGCGGGATGCGAACTTGACACATCAGAACTCGTCCGCCAACACCATTTCCGTCGTAAACATCGTGGAATTTAAGATCAACAGCTAACCTCTTACATTAATAGTGTGTTGTATTTATATTAATGAATTTACCTAAGAGGAACATGCCACATTTGTGGAGCGCATTTACGCTACGCATCAATTTGTCATTTGGGCTTGCAAAATTTCTTATAAAAATTAAAACGTAAGAGAATATTTTATTAAAAAATGCTTTACAGTAGTCGTTGGAATTGTTTATAGTTGTTGCATCAGTATTATTTATTATCAGGAACGTAATTTGCTATGCTTACACTCGTCTGAACTTTTGCTAAACCCAGAGCCACGCTCACAACTTCAGCATAAGCACAACTGGTTATTTGGTTAGAATAAAAGGAAACCTGACCCCACCATTTTCACAAATGTCCTCCTTTGAGCTTACCGTCGCAACTGTAAATTCCGTAGTGCTTCCCGGAGCTCCTGTCGCCACACACCTTGCAGGGGATATCCAGGAGACGATCTCCTGAAACCACACATACACACACGTGTCTATTAGTGCGTTTCAGGAACTACGTACTCGAAGGAAAACTAAGAACTGAGTCTCTGATAAGACGGAGTTGGGGATCGAAAGGTCACTTAATCCATATTAAAATACGAGGCGCGTCCCAAAAGTAAGTTTCCCTGGGGCCGTTTACAGAAACAAAACACAGTTTCATGGAAATATTTATTGCAACAGATACAGCAAGTGTCCAGCTATTTTTCAACATATTCGCCACCGGAATTGAGACATTTGTCATACCGTGGGACCAACTTTGGAATCCCTGTGTCGTAGAAGTCTGCCGCCTGGGATTGGAACCACTGTGTGACAACCATCTCCGCCTCTCTGTCATTCTCAAAACGCTGACGCTGACCGGACAGGAATTTCTTGAGGTGTAGGAAAAGATGGAAATCACTGGGAGCGAGGTCCGGGCTGTAGGGTGGATGATTAAACACCTCCCAGCTGAACTTCTGCAGGAGACTTGCTGTCCGTCGAGCCGTGTGCGGCCTAGCGTTATCACTGACCGCACTTCACAGTCGGCGGGGGCTGGAATAAGAACCTCCATCTTCAACAGCTGCAACGATGCTAATGTGAGAACGCGGGAAGTTCCGTTAGTGCATGCGCCATGCTACGTCATTGCTCTATCACGTACGCACAGTCGCTTCGCGCAATATAAGGTTTGCTAGCTGTGGGACGAGTGGGAAACTTACTTTTGGGACGCGCCTCGTATATATTGATTGTTGAAATTAAACACAATTTGAATTGATTAATAAACATACATCGTTGCTGTGACAATACGTGAGCTCATTCAGGTAACTTCCTGTTGTATCCTGTTCGTTAGTGGTCCAGTCCATCAGTTCTCTTTCAACAGTCGAAGTGCAAGGATGTCTTTTTCACAGGTGCTACACGTTTAGAGAAGCATTTTTCGATTCTCCTGTACAGAATAAATCGACAGTATCTCGTCTGATCAATCAGAATATTGAGCTGTGCGTTTCAAACGCTGCTGTAGAAACTCTTCACCGATTTGCATCTGAACGCGGTGGCCATCTCTAACACTTAATGAGACATTGGTTTATTTTAATTTATAAAATAGTGTAGTTGCGTCATATTGTGATTTATTAAATTAAAATTAAATTATTTGGTTATTCCGTCAAATCACAATAAAGTTGATCCATTATATGAAAATATCTGGACACGACCTCCAAAACTACACTACGAAAAATTGTAAAAAATTGTAATTGAGTTTTAAATTTAATATAATTTTACACCTGATGATGGTTTAATAAAACCGAAACATGTTGTAACTGTTCCAATTGTAAATCGATTATTCGATATGGAACACAAAATGATATTTTAATTATTTTAATTATCTTATTTTAAATACATTGTAAATTTGACGGAAAACCAAATAATTAATTGTATTGTTAAATTTAATTTAATTTTTCTTTGAAAAGTAGAACGTGTGCGAAAAAATTGTTTCATTACTTTTCTACCAGCCTGTTTTGCTGCCAGGAGATTCAACTGCTTCGGGTCCAATGCAAATTTCAATCCAGTTCATATCCTAAAAACGTGTTTCCAAATTCTGAATTTTAATTCTATCCTCACACTACCACATCTTCCTTTAAACATTTCGATCTCTTAAAAACATTTTTCCAACCAAAGTTGTGTTTTTATTTCTTGAAGATTTCTGTCTTCTGGGTTATAGTGTGGTAGAAGTTTACCAAGATTTCAGAGGTTCTTGCTGCCTGGAGGCAGCTTCAAGCTAGCTTCTGTTATAAAATGTCCCTGTGATCATCTTTATAAACAACCTGGTGTTCAAAATCCAGATCCAATTTATGAGGAGCTGGTAATGTTTGCAAAACGACTTCTCATTTCTCACAACGGGGAAAACTCAATGTTAATTCCCTCAGTCTGTTCGGGAGAATGTCAGGGTAGTTAAAATGTTAAGGTAGGTCTATGTCACGACCTATTTCTCTCACAATCGTCCACGAATTCTACTTTATCGCTATCATTTTACGTTAAACGCTGTAACAATTTTTGTATTTGTACAGTATTTAAATAATCCAACAAATTTGCCGTGTTCACTATCACGTTCTGAAACAAGACAACTAGATTTTTCTGAATTTTGTATTGTGCGACGATTGGATAGGTAGCTGATAATTATTTTAGGCTTCATTTTAGCTACATCCGTTCTTATGTCATGTAGTAAGTTCCGGCTGAGCGTTTGTAGTTGCCCCATCCATGTTCTTCAAGAGAACCGATGTTGCTAGAGGAGTCTGAGTCAATGTTAAAGGTAGATAGGTGGTTGTGGTTTTGTGAAGGGGCTAAGAACCACTCCCTTGTCTGTCCTGCCTCTGGGCACACGTAAGGGGAGATAATTGGTTTGTCAATCGCGCACCTACTGTGGGCTACACCGACTGCTATGAATCGATTTCTTCTTGGACTGAAGACTAGACAGTTGGAAGGCCTCTTATCTCGCCACGATGCCTCTCGTCTTCATCCTTGTGTTCAGATGATGACATTATTATTCATTGCTACTGACTGCGTGGTAGACGACCGAAGTTCGACTCCTACTGCTACTACTACTTAGATGGTTCTCGGAGAACCACACGTAGTTTGACGTTAGCAACACTAATGTCTGCTTCTGAGAACGAACTTTGTGGATCTCGAATTAATCTCACGGCTACTATTAAAGATCTTGGCGTCTTTCTGTTAGCTCAGAACTTTATTTCGACGGTCATGTAGACTACATATTAAGCGAGCTTCTAAGTTGGTGGGTCCTATTCAAACTGTAACTTTTTTTCCTTAAATATGTTCACAGTCTTCTGATGTTGTATTTTAATCTACTCATACCTAAACCTGTTGACGTCAGCAAGCCTGAGTTCGTTCAGAAGTTCCTCTTGGCGTGTTCCCCGAGTACATTGTAGTTACGTGAATGCTTTATAACGCCTTGTCGAAGTTAAATTCTTTTGTTCTTTGCTTGAAACTGTAGACATTCACTTTCCTACTCGAAATTTTAGAGATTTTCCTTCGGAATTTAAGCTTGCCTTTAATAATTTTATCTTATCTGTGAGTTGAAGAACTTGATGTTCCAGACTAGGCTTGTGTGGTCTATTTAAGCTTTCATGTTTTAATTTCTTTAAAGCGATTTTATCTGAATTGATACTGATAAAATGAGCGAAGAGGTAGATTTAGCACGGCTCCGGTTTTACGCGGTATTGATTGACATAGACGTTTAGCTATTGTTCTGAACAGTGGGCCCGTTGCAACACTGATGACAAAGCCCCACGAAAGCAATTTCTGTTAGCTGTAATCCAAAAGTGCGAGCTTTTATTTGGTTTAACTTTTTTTTTTTGTCGTCAAGCCTTGCAATCCGAAGTTGCCCCCAAGGTCGATGAGATGAGAGAGTGTGATCGGGGTTGTAGAGGGGGGAGGGGGTACTATAATAGGCGAAGCTGGGACAGTTCCCATGCATTGGCTCAGAGGCTACTAGGCTACATTTCAAGCCACCCAGCCTACTAATAAGGCTAGAGGCCAATCAGGGGTGTCACGCCTCTCAAGAACCAACATCAGGAAGTTGACATTTAATTACGCGACATGTGACCAAAGTCGTCTCGTTTCGGCTTCGATACTGTTCAGAGAATGTCGATATTTGATATCAGAATTTAATTCGTATCGATCCAGCGTGGCCTATAATTTACGTAGCTCAAAACGAACATCAGCGGTGTAGGATTTGAGATTATTTATTATTTAGTGTTCTGTCTGAGGACAGGTCCATATGAACAGGATCCTTCCATCCTTTTCTCGGACTGGGACCTGTTCATATACGTTCTTGGCAGATGATCCAGAAGTGGTTTGCCATTGCCTTCTTCTGTGTGTGAATGGAGTAATTGTTGGGATGCCACGGACGAAAACTCCGTGTTGCCTAGACCACCACAAGTTATAAATTCGAACCCGAGACCCCAGGATTACAAGGCCAGCGTTCTGACCGCTAGACCACCTCATCTTATTATTATTTAGTGTTCTGTCTGACGACATGTCCATATGAACAGGATCCTTCCATCCTTTTCTCGGACTGGGACCTGTTCATATACGTTCTTGGCAGATGATCCAGAAGTGGTTTGCCATTGCCTTCTTCTGTGTGTGAATGAAGTAATTATTGGGAAGCCCCCGGAGGAAAACTCCGTGTTGATTAGACCACGGCCTTGCCCAATACAAGTTATAAATTCGGGCACCGCCGGGAATCGAACCCGATTGAGATTGGCTGTATGTAATGTGGTAAAAATTTGCCAGCGTTTCAGAGGTCCTTGCTGCCTGCCTCCATCATCAGGGCCTTTACCGTCCTGATAATGGAATCCCATGATGAAGGCAGCAGATGGCAAATCAATAGCTTCTACATTAAACTAACTTCTGTTTTCTCTTTCCTGAATTTTGGTACGCATAAACGTAAAAAAAAGATAATAATACTAAGCCTAAAATTCCATAAATCGGTGTATTAATCATGATTTTTATTTTTCTTGAAGTAACCTGAGCAAATGGAGTATTCTGAGCTGGACGGAGCATGGGTTGATGGACAACTTTTACCTTTTACATAAATGCTATAGCCTGTTCATGTAAGCGTTCAGGATTTAGGAAGAGCTCGGCGTAACTGGTTAATGGAGACACCAGAGTTTTCTCTGCCTACGTTTTTATCCTCCGTGCAACAGACTAGTTAGAGTTAGTCTCCTTCTAATCTGATTATTCTTTCTCTCTTATGTGTTAGCTATATTTCTTTACAGGCGAAAGAAATCTTTCTTTCTTCTTTAAATATCGCCTGCCTTTTAATGATTTACGCTTGGAAAATCTTCTTTCATGTTTTTTTAAGCTTGTCTCAAGCGTTTGTTAACTTTGCAGTGTCTGTCTCTGTGTCGTATATCTATTTGCATGTATTATCAGCTTAAAATCTATTTTGGTGAAATTTCGTACTGAAATCTTTATTTAACTTCCAAGAAATCGCATTTACTTACAGTAGAAATAAATACTGAACAAGGGTAAATATGACATTCCAGTTTCTAAATGTCTTCTTAGCTATTCTGCATACCGCTGTGATATGTTACTGATGTTTAATAGATTCGTACTTCATATTGTGAAATTTAATTAATTATTCGTTTTTTGTCAGTCTAATCACAATTCATATTTAAAATTTACAATTAAGATAATTAAAATATAATTTTATGTTCCTCATCGAACAATCGATTTACAATTGGAACATCTTTTTACAACATGTTTCGGTTTCTATATAAACCATCTTCAGGTGTAAAAGTTAAAATTATAAACTTAAAACTTTATTACAATTTCTGATATACAACTTTTTGGTATGCAACTTCTGGTATGTTCCAATTGTAAATCGATTGTTCGATGAGGAACATAAAATTATATTTTAATTATCTTAATTGTAAATTTTAAATATGAATTGTGATTAGACGGGCAATAACCGAATAAGTACTGTACTTAAGTCTTACACTAAATTTTGCAATCTTAAAATGCTATTCCGTCATTTAACTGGAGTGAATGAGAAAAATCCAGTACCTCCGGAATACGTAGCAGGATTTATAACTATTCGCGAGTCCGCCATGTTGTTATGATTGTAAGAAATTGGAAAGCGCGAGGCTGGCACAGAGATGCACACAATACCAGTGCGGTGATTTCATAGGTCTAAGGAGACTTGTCTAAAAGTGAAGTAGGATTACAATGGACAGGGACAGTCAGATACAAAAGTAAGTATAAGCAAACTGGTGAAGACTTTAAATTCAAAATAGTTTATACTCTCTTTAATACAGACTAAAAGAGTGAAGATCATATATAAAGGGGAAGTAACTCAAAGGGATTTGTGTAAGACAGAATAGATAAGTCGTCAACTCGCGCAGCCAAGACCAGGTATGCCTGCCCCGGTTAACAAAGGTTATGCGTATTTTATTTCAGAAGTATCGACGAGACACAAAATTCGACAAGGGGAAACTCAAGAAATCTTTTCTTTGTGTTTCGTTAGGAGTACTGCATACAGTTTCTTTGTGGATCAAAATCCTTCCTGAGAAGCTAATAAATAATACGCTTAGCTAGTCGACAAATCCCACGCCATTTGTGGAACCCGAAGGTGGCCACACGAGTCCACCGCCGATCACTACCCTAAGCCAGATGAATCTAACCCACGTTCTCCAAGTTTCCATCTAGTCTAGGTCTTCCGAGTCGCCGCTAACATTCACGCCTTGCAACCGAACCTCTGCACGCCTGTCACATCCTCCTTGGTATGATTACCTTATCAATGCTTGCTGAAGATTGTCCGCCCTGTCGCCTGTGACATTTCGGGTTCTTACGGCGACTACAATAAAATGACATCCGTATGGGACATTGCGCCTTATAATCCCGTAAAAGTTGACCGACGTTTCAGAAGTGCTTATTGCCTCCATCATCAGAGCGACTTATTGAGACTACACAGCGCATTTTTCCATAAGGCTGTAATCTTAATTCTAAACTGAAAACCCATCAGGACGACTTTCGTGTTCAGTACAGGTGATTGCAAATGTTTGTTAAACAGTTTTCTTAATGAAGGTTCAGTTTTTAATTTAAAGTTGTGTGACTGATGCCAAATAGAATATTACGTAAATATTTTACTTTTTTTGGTTCTTTTTTTCAACTCATGTATTTTTGTGTATCACTTATATTTAAGATACTGCATCAATGCGCAGGTTACACAGCGTTCAAGGATGTGGAAGATGGTACTTAAAGCTGACCAAGTAAGGATTTTGAACCAGGACATCATAGCCTAAGGAACTGTCCAATATTCGCTTTTTGACGTAGAAGGAAACACGAGAAACCTCATTGATGACTCAACATAAATATTTCCAGTGAGCTGGAAGGGAATGTAAAAAGATTTTTGTGCGGTTTCAGGAAATCTTCAACCTAATCCTTAAGTGAACTTAATTTTAACACAGATTAAAATGACTGAAGTTCCAGTGTGCTTCTGCATTTCGATCGTAAATCAGAGACCATATCTTTCAACTTCTTTCCTTGGAATATGCTGGTTTGATCCAATCGCAGGACGTCGGCCTATTAGTAATCATGATTACTGACGTATTATAAGTCTGTCTTCACTGCTGAGGAATATTTACAAATTTTCTGTCTATGCAATTAGTAACCGACATAATTAATAATTGAACTTTGTAAAAATTATGAATTCCACCTGCATATTTTATTTTTTTTTATTTTTTTTTTTAAAACTGAAGGAGCTGTAGCAAACGAGACAGTACAGCGAGAGGTAGACTAATGGTCGATTCACGGAAAGGATGTTGGAATTCATCTCTGCACAATCACGAGCAGAGGTGCTATAGAAATCGCTTGTCGGCTATGCCGTTAGTCGGTTGGTAGGCAGGCTTATTGACGATAATTTCGGACAACCGTAGCGCGAAGCTGACTAGGGCAGCTGTTAAACCTGTTTAGATAACCAGCAAGATAATATTATGAACAGTATTAATACCTTATTACTCATTATGTCTCTGGAAGACAAAGTCGACTCTGGAACCAGCAGTTCGGGGTCGGCACAGCCAAAAAGATGATTATTTAATTTGTATTATTATTAGACCTATCATAATCATTAACACTGTATCATTACTATTATTGTTATTAGTGTTACTGGTTAGTAGAAACACTATTGACACATTCACCGTCATTACTTTAATTTAAGACGAATTAAACTTGTAAGAAACGAGGCTTAACATGCTAATCGTGTCTGTCCATTTGCTCCTGAGCCCATCCGTCCGTCTGTCTGTCTGTCTGAGTGTTTCAACTTGAAAACCCCTGGGCTGATGTAGATTAAATTTAGTGCGGACATTATGCCGTTAGAGGCTGGTGTTAATTAAAAAATATAGCTACAATTCTTGTTGAAGTAATTATTTTGCGGAATTTGAAACAACAGTGATGGTCTGAGAAAATGTTCTTTAGTTTCCAGTTTGAGATTGGTAAGTAATGAACCATTGTAGTTAGACGTGCGGAATTTTCCGTGGAGATGAATCAGTAACACAACATGCATGGACATTTGAGCGTAACACAACAAGTGTAAGATACAGCCAAGGCTTGTAAAGTGTACAAGGTCTCCGAGAAATGTAACAATGTACTGATAATGAACCTAATAATTGTAATAGAATTTTTATAAAATAGGTCAATTCTGAATATGTAATAATGTACTGATAATGAACCTTAATAATTATAATAGAATTTTTATAAAATAGGTCAATTTAAAATTATAAATATTTTATAAAAATTACACGAGTGGAATTTGATCTACGGTAATTTGTGCACGAACCCAGAACGCTAACTCATGACGTACAGTCCACTGTAAGATATAGTGCATAAGAGTAGCTAACACTAGAAATTTTACGAGTTGTTAATGCAGAAATGTTACGAGGCAAATCGCCATCAGACATTAAATTGTTAACTCACTTATAATCCAAACGTATCTGGATGTTGTGTGTGTGTATACACCTAGCTAGGTTCATTCAGAGTGCCAAGGTGTAAGAAACTCTTGTGGAAACTCAGTGTACTCAGGCACGGATTACAGTTTCCAGCCTTATTTCTAAACCATAAAACAAAAAACATGTCTTCCCATGTTTGGGAGAGAAAAGAATCCCAGCACAAGATTTTGAATGAAAATATTAGAACGACAACAAATTAATCAGATCTAATATTTCAGCATTTTTATTCAGACGGCGCAATAGTGACTTTGCGAAGCCCGGAATAATTATTCGCACAAAACAACTTATCTTTACTCTCAATACATTTTTTTTTCGAGTGTTTTCTGATAAACGTAAGATTTGCTAATTAGAATGCAAAGAGAAGTTTCCTCAGTGCGTGAGACCGACTGACGTAGCTCACCTGTTCCCATTCTCCGCATGCAAGACACTGTGACGGCCGGACCTTCTCGTGCCCTCGATGTCCTGATAAGCCCTCACCAGCCCACACCACACCAGTCCTTCATTTAACACAGAGCACTCACTGCCTTTAACTTTAGCCGCGTTGCTGACTGCCGAGATCCTAACAGCAGACGTCCTCAAGGTCTCCTGTCTTTATATACACTTGCCATTTTGTCATGATGTTGCATCCACTGCTCCTCCCTCTCACCCCTTCGCGTCTCTACCCTCTCGACCGTCCTCCCTCGCCTTGTAGCTAGTGTGGGAAATGGTCCAGGTGTGATCGCGCCCAGCATCCCACATACAGTGATGGAGAGAAAGAGAGAAAATACAGAGTCAGGCAAGTAGGAGTGGAAGGAACAGTAGTTTCGAACTAAAATGGTCCTAGTGACTTTTTCTTTTGGGGGATGATTAAAATGTGTAAGTTCTATGTGTCCATTTCGTCTCATGACTTAGGGGAGGGCTATTCTTATCAAAATGTGGAAATATTCTTTTAGTAGCTAGCAAAATTTGGAAGCAGTTTTTAAATCCTTATAACTTAATAAACAAAGGTAAAATATTATAGTTCTAATTTGTTTTCAAATTTGACTGTAAGACTATTTTTGAGACGTCTAGATCAGTGGTATTCAAACTTTTTTGTTCGTGTACCCCCAAATATAATTTCTCTTCAACTTTGTACCCCCCAAAGTTGTTGGTGTATAATTCAAATTATTACATAGTATATAATCTACATCTAAAATAAATTAAATAAATTATATTACTAATTATTCAGTGTTTATAATAAAATAATTTTTTTTTAAATTTCACGTATCCCCTAAGAAGTCTGTTCTAGATCATAAAAATCTTTTAACACATTTGTACCTGAGGTCGTTTGGACATTTTTGTTGTAAATTTATCCTCTTTTAAAGAATCGCTACATTAGCGTTCCGATGTGTCTCAAGATTTAGCGTTTGTTACATTTTGTGTTCTTTCAGAATATGTATACGTCTTAAATTGACTGATATTTAGATATACTTAAAGATTCGTTACAAATATTAAATCGAATCTCAATATTCTAAAATATAAAATTGCTTACTGTTTTGGCTTACTCAACAGTGAGGTCTCGAAATGCACATAGGATAAGACAGTAATTACACGCAGGGAAACTTTGGACCCAGTGTAGATCGTAAACAGGACGTAAGAGATGATGCATAAGCCACTCTTGTTCAAAGTTTGGGGCCTGATTTGTCGTTCGTGTGTGAAAGAGAGAACAAGAAGGTGGTTGAATATGATCCACAGGATAGAAAGGCGAAAGAAAGAAGATAGTAAAATGAGGGATTGAAGAGCTGGAGCGGTTTTGGAGAAGAAGAATCATAAATTTAGACGGGAGCACGGAGAGAGTTAATTGTCCTGAAGGTGTGATAGAGGGAAGGATGCAATGACACAGTGAATGGTGTCCACGGAAGATAATAACTGAGATGAATCAAAATTCCACAATAAGATGGCTTTAATATTAATATGTTCAAATTCTTGGCAACTGACCTATTTTGTTGGATAGAGGCCTATGAATATCGTAGGATGAAATATTTTTATCAGTTCATAATTAATAACTGGGACATAATAGTCTTATAGAACATGTGTTAGGTATGTGTTGCGTGACTTTTCGATTAACGTGTACTCTGTACTACTACGCTAAATAATTCTCATTCGGATAATTTATTAAATGTGTAGACTACAGTAGTTAATTTTTAAAAATTATGTAAGTTGAGTTATACATTTTGTCTTTAAGGCATGTATAAGTCTGTTGAAGTAGGCTATAGGCCTACAGGCCTAAATCAGGTAAATTTTATATTCGTATTGTAACTTTCTTTCATGGAGTCTAAACCAGGGTTTGGTAAGAAACAGAATCGATGTATTGTCTAATAGGGAAAGGAGATTAAAACTTTAAATTGTGGGTCATTTGGGTAACGATGTAGTGTATTTTGTGTTGTAAATTCAAGAAATAAAGGGGTGGGGGGGTTGACAGACTGCCTTAATTTCTGCGCTGTTTAACAAGTCTCACGCCTCCTTCAACAGCTCCCTTCCCAACCCTCATTCAAAGCACCCTGTCACGAACCCTCTTGTATGTACAACTCGTCTCTCATTCTAAGATAAAGCGATCCTCGTATTCGTTGAGCCTCTGAACATTAGAACAAAACATTAGGAAAGTATCTCAATAAGCCTTAAAAAAATATTTTCGTTTTTATGTTCATATAATTTTTTTTCTCAGCTATATGAAATTTTCAAAATTCTCCAGCATCACACAAATCGCGAACAATTATTCTATTGTCTTTTTCAAAAGTCATTCAGTTTTGTGACAGACTTCGATTCAGACTTTGTTTTCGTTGGCGATACAGAAAAATCAATCAGCTCTCATTTGTGCACAGATTTACTGCACAATCTTTAATCCGACTCCGTTCCTTTGTAATTAAATTATTTACTCTTTGTAAAATCAGTTTTCTTGTTGTCATCGAAGTCGTTGTTTTCGCTCTGTGGTCCTGCTAAAACGTCGCTGGACTTAGGAAATATTTATTTGGCGTGATACAACATCTAGCAGAGGGACCGGGTTCTGTCATTGTCAGACTCCATGTCCAGTGATACCTAATTTATCTATGTAGCTAATAGCTTATAGCAATCGGAGTTGGTGATAATTCGGTGTTATGATATTTCGGACCTTACGTTTTCTGCCTGGTTCAATGCTGTTAAGGGATTTTGAGACTTAAGAGATAGCCTAATGTGTTGTTATAACCGTTACCATGGTGATATTGTTACAGGATTTTTAGTGATGAAATAATATTAAGACTTCGTGTTTGCTGTTTTATATTTTTCAATTATTTTTGACAGGTAATTTGCAGGTTCTATATTAACGAAATACGTCATACTAAATTCTATACAGTATATTATTTAAGACTACACAGCAAGCAGACTCTCGGCCCTAAGCCAAGGCGTATTTCATGGTTTTTCTCAGTCCCTTTCGGAGGAATGCTGAAATCATCATTTCATTACCTGTCATGTGGAGACTGCCAACTGACAGGGCAAACCGAGACAACCTTGAAACGCCACTGCTGACCATAGAAAGTGGTAGGTCCAACCCCGAGCCCACGGACATCTGATTTATATCACTCCTGCTTTCTTGATCTCGACGCTCAAAACAAGGAGGGGGCAGGTTGCCGCAGAGGGGCGTGGCTTCCACCAACCCACCCACTGTCTGTAGTACCTGTTTTTTGACGGGGGATAATGTTCGCTGCGGTTGGGGAGTGAGCAAGTCGAAGTTGGCGAAGGCAAAGAGAGAAGACGCAGAATATATTCAGACTGACGCCTGCAGGTTAGTTGAACGGCAACTCTGAGCGAAATTCAGACAAATTGGAATAACAGCAAGATTTCTAATCACTAATGATGAATGCGTCAAAATTCTCTTTCATTTTTAGCTTTACTGAGTTAGTTTTATGCTATATTCGGCCATGTACCAAGTTTCGGTCAGGGTACACAGAATCGAATCCCAGGACGTCTCAGGTAGGAAGTTAGAGCGTCAAAAGGTCGGTTTATAGGCTACGTCGTGAATTAACAGCTGGTGGGATGTGAATGTTCACACCTTTGGGCAGAGATCGAACTGCCGTCATCTTGACTACAGTATTTCGCATAGACAGCTAAGGTCTGCTTACAGACATGGGGCCCACTCCCGCGAGGTTATAGTGGGGGAATTTGCAATTACAAGCAGTTAACGCCCGCATGGAAGGAGGTGTTGACTCAAATCAACGTTGATGAAGTCTTTATGCAACAAAGGAACTAGTTAAATTCTTTTTTTAACTAAAAGAACAAATAAATCCTTTCATATCTTCTTTACGAAGTGAAAAGATTATGCTACATGTCTGTCTTTCAGACGTAAGCACGGATAAAGTTTTAAGTAGCCTGGGTTAGATCTAATATTCTGACAATGATCACGGGCTATGATATTACATTTCATGTAAGTTATTACCAATAGTATTTATTTATTTTTATTTAGTGTTCTGTATGACGACAGGTCCATATGAACAGGATCCTTCCATCCTTTTCTCGGACTGGGACCTGTTCATATACGTTCTTGGCAGATGATCCAGAAGTGGTTTGCCATTGCCTTCTTCTGGGTGTGAATGGAGTAATTGTTGGGATGCCAATGAGGAAAACTCCGTGTTGCCTAGGCCACGGCCTTGCCCAACACAAGTTATAAATGCGAACCCGAGACCCCAGGATTACGCGAGTATGAAGATTAAACTCTAAATTATATTAGCGTTGTTTATCCTTGTATAAATTCACCATCAGAGCGATGACATCGCCTTGATGATGTAGACAGCGAGTAATATCTGAAACGTCGATAAACGTCTTCAAGAATACACAGCGTTATCATCCCAGAATACATCATCTCCATACATCATCACCTTGATGTTTTACACATCAGATAGTGTACAGTTGTGGATTGAGTAACGTATTTAAAAATTCTCTAACTTTACGAAGACCGGATTAAAAGTTACTCTGTCCGAGAATTTTATAGGGTACAAATAATCTGATATTTAAAAAGTCCAAAAATTCGGCTTAAAATTATGATATCCTTTTCATTTCAACAACAACTTGGCTAAAAATACGGGGGTAGATATTTTATAAAATAACCAAAAATACCTTTATTTCTATGTAAATTAGTTATAACTGTCTTGATAAAAGCCACAGTAAATTACGTAGGGGCAGGAGTGTAGACCTATTCATCGTAAATTCGTTTTATTTGTTGGTGTTGATAATATTAAATATTCCTTATGTTTCGATTTAGTTGATTTTTTCCGAATTTAAACAATTTAAATCAAATGCAGGTTACCTAATTGTGACCCTTCTGTCTGTTACG